ATAACGAATGCAAGTTAAGAATACAGATGTGTTTGGGTACACCCCGAAAATGTCATCACTTCTGTGCATTCTTTGTGGGTCCTTTGCCTACATCGTGCTAGTAATGTCATGGCCTCCAGTACAGGGCGGCGATTCGGTACTGTTTACCCCGGAGGGAGTAAAGTATTCACCACATTGTGATTGGCATAGAGACTGGTTGTTAAGGTAGAGAACAGATGATTCAACGGCATCCGAATCACTTGCTTTACTGGTGGCGTTTCAGCCGTAGGCTGTTCGGAAAAACCCTGTCCTGGTGGATTGTATGGCTTGCTTATATGGTGGCTGCCGTATATATGACGGTCATGGCCAATTTCATATTCACCGCGTTTTTCTTTAGGCGATCTATTCTAAGCTTGTCCTTGAGTGGCACATGAGTGGCATATGTGTGAGGCGGAGTGCAGTCTGTGACTACCGTTCGGCTCACTATCCAAGAACCGTGACCGTCAAGGAGTCTGGCCGTGGTATGCCTGTTAGTGGCCGGGGAAATGTTTAGAAATATAGATCGCCTGGACAGTAGTCGTTTGGCTTGGTCACAGGATGAACCGAGAAATAACGTTTGGCGCTTCTCTTAGTGTGGCTCTGCAAGCTGTCATGGTCTATTGGTTATTCGTAATGGTGTTCATCTATTAGCTTGGCTACTCAACCAACTTTTCGGAGATTTGATTAACCTGGGTGGGTCCATAGTATGGTTTGTGTGAGTGCTTGATACATCTGCACTCCTTGTCGCCTACTCATTTGACGTATGCAAGTTATGCACTGGTTGATGTGGGAATAGATTGGACTGTTTACGCGCTAGGCTTTGGGACTGTCCTATGGTGACAAGGTGCTTGTGGCTGGTGCTGGGTATGTTTAGAGGCTGAGTAACCCCAGGTGACGACATAGTAATGTCTTCAGTATTTTGTTGGATCGACACCGTAGCATTTGGTTTGGTTGTGATTTGTGCGACGGGGACTGGATTTCCACTTTTGCAGAGGGTAAGATCACTTTTGAGAAACCGTGTGCCTGTTTTCAAGTGTAGTTAGTTGATTTGCCCAAGCCTACCGTCGTTTCATTGGCTCTACTACGTCTCTGTGTGAGTGAGCCATTTTTGGGGTTTTGGTGTTCCTCATTCCATTGTTTCGGTACAGTAACCAGCTCACTAACAGGTTGTGTTGCTGTTGTGGATACCACAGCCTGGCTAGAGTTTGCAAACTTCGGTATTTTTGTGCGATCACGTCCTCGACAAGGCGCTGAGTCTCGTGGAAGTTGGAAACCTTTATATGGTATGGATACACTGATAAGCTGGCTGGATGATAGGAAGTGTCTGTCGTGGTAAGAGCTATTAAATTTGAACAATAGTAGGCCGGTATATTTTTTCAACTTCTTGCGGAGACGGATAACTTAGCACTCTGTGGAAGACTTGTTACAAGCCTTCAAATATAAGGCTTTTATTTGTTTGATTGGTTAGCTGTCGGGTATTCTGTATGCTGGTCGTAATATTTCATCAAGATTGTGAATCTCAGATGTGGAATGGTATTGACATGCATGAATTATGCAGTTCCGGAGTCATCAAGGAAGTACAATAAGTAATTAGTTTGCGCATACATCCCTTATAAACTTTCCATCATTATCTCAAGCAAAAAGTACGAACTGTCACAACGTACGTATAAGCTTCAGGCTTTACTTTTCTCCAGAAAATACATGTAGTGTCGAGATACAAACCTAGTTTTTTGTTGATACAAAGACAATGCTTCCACTTGTTCAACTTGTGAATTTTCTGCACACTTATTCTGCTGGGATATTTCACTATACGGACATGCAGCACTAATATCTTCTAGTGACAATGGATGGGGATTGACATAACTTTTCATGATGACATGTAATTTGTACGGAAACTTATTCACACCTGTAAGAATGGTGTGTGTCCGTATATTCAGGAGCAGACATTACTATTATCATTGGTATCTGTACGGTGTTACGTGGACACGATTTTTGAAGAGTGGAGCCTATTAGATGGCACGACTTATCAGCGAATTTCCCCATTGTGAAACTTGAAATGTTTTCTGCGCCCAAGCTGTGTAAGCGGTTCAAGATCTCGAGACTCTTGGGTAATTCTTACTCTGTGATCAAACGGCATTCATTTCGAGCAGAGAGAGAACACCACTGCATCTTCCGTAATGTGTTTCCGTCTTGTTTGACGAAAGCATCGCAATCAGCTGCTGAGTTTTTAGAAGTTTGCGTGAGTATATAATGGTGTCTGAGGAAACAATAAAGTGATTGGAAAGAACTAAATCTTGGATCAGTTGGATGCACCGTGAGGGGTGCGAAGTATTTTCAGCTGGCAGCTTTGTCAAGGGATTTCAGCATCACTTGATGGACGCTACGACCTGAGGGGCTCAGGGACAGTGTATTCATAGAAAGTGGACCGAGGTGGTGGACCAACTTGGTGTAACGGAGCAGTAGACGGTGTGAAGATACCACCTTCCGGTTTTGTTTAGTTATCTTCGTTCACTCCGATTTTACCAATGGTACCAATAACGTTTTTCTCATACAACTTAAGCTGCATGAGAAAATTCAGTTAATAGGGATCATTAGTTTGGCAGTATGAAGTCGATGCCATGACCAATAACACCCAATACATTGGAAGGACGCAAAACTCAAACGGTACAGTTTCCACCCTTAAAACCTCATCACGCCGTACACGAAATTTGAAATACTGATCCAAAAAATGCATCTTACTAACTACGTGGATGAGAGTTGCCTACCAGTGTTGTAGAGTAGAACGGCAGAGAATAGGAAATAAATGTGTCACCCTTGGCCAAAAGTGACGGTTTATATTTATGTAACCTTTGTTGCATGAAATATATTATTATTATTATTATTATTATTATTATTGTGACCAGAAGCATTTATGAACGGGCATGTTTTGTCGTGCGAATTTCATCTACTCTCCAAGTGATCATTGTCAAGAAAATACTTGGTGGACAGTGACGGACAATTTTGTTATCCAAGGTGTTTGCCGACTAGCATGAATGCGTAGGATTAACTATTTTTTCGAAAACGCCCCACCTTTCGAGTTCAGTTGGACCTACTTCCTTTAGGTTTCTCCGATTACAGATAGCTTTCATACCAATAATAATCAGTTGACCAGATAGTCGTACCTTTGATCTTCAGCCGTTTGCAGTGCATATGCACTTCGCGAACTGTAAAGCCAGTGAAAACAATAAAGATTGATCATTCGCTGGATGCAACAGGGACAAGTTTTAATTCCAGTTGCACTCACTTTATCACTCCTCAGACATAACATCATTTGATAGCCAAAATCTGCTAAATCTCAGTGACTAATGTACGGGATGTTGGCTACCAATATACTGTTAACGATCATGTACGGGGATATATCCCTTCTTAAGTGAGCATTCCTCTTGTCAGTTCCATTTACCTGACAATTTACCATTACTTCATGATGTTCACCAATAGCACTAGATTATGAACATTCATTTGGTATGTATCCTGAGTTAGGTCTACTTACATTCCAGCCGCACCTTGTTTCCTTTCCTACCTGGAAACATCTATCTTTAGTCACATCTCTGAAACTTATGTCAAAAAACGTTTCTGCATTGGTAGGGAAACTGATTGAGTAATTCATCGCCTACAGTTGTGATGGGCTGTGATGGGCTATAGAGCGCCTGGGGACTCTGAGAAAATTTGAAGTGTTAGGTTATAGTACCGTGGCTCACTTTCAAGAGGAAAGTTATGAACACTTTTTTCAAATGGGGGCTAGTGAGGAGATTGTATATATTGTGGGGAGCTTCAGACACGTACGATTTCGATCTCCAGGTTACACATGGCAGTCAAATTGAATGACAATCTGTTTGGTCGTCAAACAGGTATTCAGGCCTCCCTTATTCAACAACACTGGAGTTACCCCGTCGGTTTAATGTAGAAGAATTTTTGAAACTGATGCAGGCATAAGCTGCGTTGTGAATGGCAAAGTAAGTGTCATGAGTGGCAAAAACGAATCATACTGGAAAGTTGTGATTATCAGCGGTATCTTCAAATCGGAAGCTAATGGATGTTTGGCATAGCCGGCTCATAGGCTATCTATGAATCATAATACAGAAAGTGCTTTTTTGACGAGCAAGTTTTGGATGTCAAAAGTTCGAATAGCTAATCAGCCTCTTCAATGTACATGTGATTCTCGGAAGTTAAAGTTTTTTTTAAGACGGAGCGCATTGATTGGAAAGTTTGTAAGTACGATTCATGAATGTCTCTTTCAGGAGATTTCAGTCGACATTTGTTATGACTGACCAAGCGTACATAATGCATTCGCATCCACAGTCGAAAAGTTCATCTTGAGGGAAGTCAGGTTTATAAGAGCCAGTGTAATATCAAGTTTGTGTAACAAGAATACCCGGGCCTTGAAGGCCAAACATAGACAGGCGTACTGTGTACTTTACTGATTCTAAAGTGCATTCGAAATCAAACGTTTGTGAATCTAAGTATCATTTTGGTGTATAAGAATAGGAGAGTTTACAAATTCATCTATTTCGGATTTCAACCAGATCGTGATGTGGTTGAGTTTTAGGAATCACTAAGCCTGTAAAACTTTATCGTCTCTTCAGTTTCAAACAACTTAAGTGGACTGCCGTGATTGGTATACTGAAAACAGACTTTTCAAGTTTATCAAAACTGCAGCTTGCATGTCATTTTATCAGGAGATGTTGCTGATTCGAAAGATACTCATGGTCTACAAGACACTGGCCTGTGAGAGCGGACATTCCTCAGACCAGGTTTGTCTTCATACGTCTCTCACATGCTATACAGAAGGTAAAGGTGGAGATAGCCACCCAAATTCTCAAAAGCTGTCACAACATAGACTTTACAAAACATATTAGACGCAGCTTTTTTGCCACAGCACTTCAGACAACACAGAACCGGTTACTGGATAAATAAGAGGGTATTTTGAACGTTGCGCTACACTGATGAAGCGACGGGTGGTTTTCAGCGAGTCAGACTCAGGTAGTTTCCACTACTTATTTTATGAAAGGTAAGATGATGAGAAGCGACCAAAAGAAAAAGTGCCGGCGAAACGGCGCTCCAGGTCTCCGGTTAGTCATTCAGCTAAGAAAAGAAAGCATGCTGAAGCCAGAGGTACTCTTCCTTCTTACTAACTTCCTGTCCAGATGAAGATATATCCTGTCGTCATAGCGCTCAACAATCGATAATTGAATCTCTGAGACGACAACAAGAGATGTGCAAGGGCCCTGGCTACAAAAAGAAGGCCAATACCATTGAGGCGTATTTCTCCCAACCCGTGAAGGCAAAGAAAAATGAAGTCTCAGTGGATGCTTTTTTCTCATCGTCCTTAGAAAAGCCAGCTAACATGGTAATTTTATTTAGCCTGGGTTTTGTTCATTCATAAGTCAGTTATACCGCCTATCTCCTTAGTTCTCGGGTGCATACCAAATGGCTTCAAATTATTCTTGCATGCACACTTTCACTCTTTGTTTCATTTTAATTGGAAAGGCTGTTGTTTGTTTTCATGAGCTGTTATCTTTGTGTGAATGGGAATACCTCACGCTTTTTACTCCTTTGGCTATTGCATATGTAAGTATATAGACACTGGACGCACTTTGCCGTTTTTGCTTACTATTCTGCCATGTGTTTTGAGTGCACCTTTAAGAATTTTAGATTGCCATCATACTTTTCCGGAGTCTTGTAAAAGGTTAGAACCACCCAAACTTATTTCCCAAAATTTTCTTAAATTTCAACCTTGTCCAATTTGAGTAAGCATACTCAAACCACCCAAACATAATTTTCAGGATGTACGCATTTGCGCGGGTATCAATGAGTTTAGCTTATACTAGTCATTACAACTACTTGTCGAAAATGCGATACAGGTCACTCATGTGGATGCATATGCATTTACCATACATGTCACTTAAGAAACCGGAATACGGCCTTATAGCTCCTTACATAAAATACGTTTTTATTTAGGATGTACATTAGGCGTATATGAAATTACGACATCAAACTTCCACTGACTGAATTACCTATTTCTGCCTCCAGCGTGCTCTCAGACGACTAAATTAACTGAATGCTTTCAGCACACTTGAAGGCATTAATTTCCGCCACTGTTTCTGTCTCAATGACGCACATTAATGGGCTATGCAAGTCACATTAGTACGAAATTAAGAGACCGGAGCGTTTCTGGTCGCTATTTCATTTTGTTAAGGTTGTTGTGGAACTGCTTCCGAACGCTGAATTAGGTTTTATCCACCGTGAACTCTTCGTCTTCACTTCTCTTCCTGTGTTAGCTGTAAACTATACTTGCAAAAATGAATGGTGAGATGTGTATTTCATATCCGTTCGCTTACCATAGGACTAATGTAGGCTATTAGATACTCTAGTATACTAAATATTCACTTCATTCTCTAGATATTTTAAAAGCTTTTATCAAACTTCGTTTAGGGTTACTGTATTTAAATTTTACAGATAACATTGGTGTTTTGATACTCAAGGTTATCTAGACTTCTAGCTACCTGTCAGAGACGACAATGCTAACCACCTGAATTCTGACTTCAGTTAAATAAGTCAATAGTATAAACTAAGTAGAAACGCGGATTTTGATCAATAGATATGCAGAAGCGAGAGGTATCTATTAAAAATATGCACCGATAAAATTAGATCCTCTGTTGTGTGGAGTGGCCGCACTCAACCGTATTCAACCAACTGTGTACGCCTTGTTGAAATGCAACTAATTTAGGATGTCTAAGATCAGTTTAACTCATGCGTACAGACTATACTCACTTATTTCACGATTTGTTCCACAGAGAGGACGTAGTCAATTCAAGTAAAGCCAGTCGGTTACTGCCGTTGTGCCATATACTGCATATATTTCCTTAAGTTGCGGTGTTCATATGTGATAAGAGCGTAGTTTCGGACAGAGCATTTCCAACAGTGTGTTCAGGAAGTTAAATCATGGTCGATAAAACAGTGTCATAATGGTAAAGATTAGTTAATTAATCAAAAGCTACTCAACTGAGTACAGGTTGTAGTGTGCTCTGCACCACACGTATTTCGTGAGGGCTAACTATTTTACGTGGTTACTCATATCCATTAGATGGACCAGGTTCCAACCTGACCCATTGCTAAAACGCCAAACGTTTTAGCCAGTAAACTATATCTTTACCGTCGTGATAAAAGTACTCTGAGATAATCTCCATAGGACGATGCAGACTAGGTGGTTGGGGTCCACGGGACAAGAGGAACCAGTGGTTGGAGACCCTAGGTGATATGGCTCAGAACCGAAGTCAGTGGTGCAGATGTATACACACATTATCCTCATCTTAACAACGCTATACCGAATCTCACCATTTTGTCACTCCTTTTTCCTTACCTCTCGTACTTTATATTTCTTTTGACTGCATTCACTTATCTTCATCCTTCGCCTCACTACCTTTTTACCTGATGTGCTGATATGAGGTGTGGCAACTCGAACCGTTACACAGTAATGCCTGGTCCTATGTTGATAATAATGATGATGATGAATCTCCATTCTGAAAGTGATAACAAGATGTATGACCTAGTAGTATTGTTTTCGATAAGATTTCAGGCTTTATTCTAGTATATATATATATATATATATATATATATATATATATATATATATATATATATATATATATATATATATATAAACATCTGGTGTGGTGCTGAGTCGTCGCCTACTCAATTATGTTACCTGAGTTAAGTATAGTTTAGAAGATAGTAAAGTGTAGCCAGACAAAGTTATAAAATCTCTAAATTACAGCTTCTGCTGTTAAAAGGTGTGGACTATCTGGTTGAATCTATTAAGATGTTAGACTTTTGATGATATGGCTCAAAATCATTCACTGACATGCAGCTGTGTTTGATCTTTTTCGTCGAAAATTTGGACCTTCATTTATTACTGTTTTATTTCTTCCTATACACTTCTGAATAGTAGTTTTTCTATTCACTTCTCCTTTGTGTCGCATTGTGACCTGCAACAATTCAGACTGATCTACTGTAATTCACTATCCGACTGGGATTTGTCCGTCCAGCTCTTGCAAAAACTGTCGATCCGTAAAATAGCCCACACTCGGTTACCCCACGACATACCAGTGCTGGCGAAATTAGTTCACATTCCGCTTCGAGATAAGCAACCCAAAAACTCACTCTAACAAGACTGTTTGATCAGTCGCGAGCAGATGTCCCTTGGACTCTGCAGCCACGCACTAACCCTTCTTTCCCATTTACCTCAAGGACAAGTAGCCTTCTACGATGTAAGGAACCGAAAATTCCCAACCGTCCGCGTACTTCCAAACCAACTACAGTACCCTCACCTTTGTCTCCTCCACTGCTTCATTCCAATACAAAACCTTCTAGAACTTCCTCACCCTCATTCTGCGACAATTGCCAATCATACAAGCCAGTAAAACACCCATGTCCAGTCTCCTAAATTACCGCCGTCACTTCCACACTCTGGCATTAAACTTCCAAACCCTTTGCTAAATCGGACACCAGACATCTCTTCCCAAAACTTGGGAATCTTGAGACATTGATGTATCTTGTATTTCTGAGATACGTATATAAGACCTACATGTCGTTCACTTCACCCCACCTGGCCAATACCGTTATCCTTCTTTAAAATTTACTTCACGAATATCCAAAGATTGTTTGCTAGCTCTGGTGAACTCGCTGCTGTGGGTATATCACTTACTCCCCAAGTGGGAAGTCCTCTTCTCAACTGGATACTAGTCAGCACCCGTGTGTATGTGTGTACAGTCCAACTGAAGCGATCTGTAAGAACCAGGAAGGGTCATGACCAACCGATACCTACTCGTACTCTTCACCTACTCATCCACCGACTGCAGTTCGGATGATACAAAGGATGAATTCTATTAGATGCTGTCGATTTCGCTACAGAAAACAAACCGTTCAGATATAGTCATAATATCAGATAAATTCAACGCCCAAATAAAACAGCTGAAACAATTACAAAGACATCTTGGAGGTATCTACGGTATCACATGCTAAAGAACTAACAATGGTCATTGTCTCGCATAATTTCGTTCTGACAATTACTTGTTTCTTGCCAGCACTACCATCAAGCATACAGAAAGAAATGGAGTCCTCTCATATCAAACTGACGATGGATGCATGTTGGTCATATTGCTAAACGTCATCGTTGAAGAGAATCGGTGGAGAATTGCTGCTCTTTCTCGAGTACCTGTTTGGGCTCCGATCACAAGTTAGTATGGTCATGTGTATGTCTACACCTTACTGGTTGTACTCTCCAATAGAGGATGATGACATCAAGTGTGTTATTAGGAAGAAGATAGTCAAGCATTTATTTGAAAGTGACAACCGTCGTCGTTCCGAGGACACCTGGCATAATATTCAGTGTGCTGTAGAAGTAGTGGGAAAAACAATTGGCAACCTGCACCGAAAGGTCGGCAAACGTCAATGGATTCCCACAACGTCATCTGAACTGATCGATGTGAGTAGACTAATTCCAGCTGCGTCTGACCACAATGAAGAGCAAAAGCAATCTAAACATAAGTTGACCAAAAGTCTTTCCAATGATCTCAATCAGTGATGGATGGCGAAAGCGAGAGATGGAGAAAGCATCAGCGTCAATTATTTAGGTCTATCAAGTTTAAGTATAACGGTAAGAATAAAACAATAGTCAATGAGATCATCATCGAGAAGGATAAAGTCCTGATCACCTACCAGGACATTGGATAAAACGTTACGTTAAACGACTACCTGTTAGAGGATGAGTATACTGTGTCGCAGCCCATTCTGTCCTGTCATGCGTCTGTGAATGGTCTTTGTAAGTAATAGAGAGTAATAGAGATTACAGGCTTCTGACCTAAAGTGTTTTCGTAGCATTCCTCGTGTATGGCGGAATCACTGTGTGAGCAACGTAGAGGTTATGGGAAAAGTGCTAGACAGGACAGGCATGTTGGTCGATGATGTTAACCTTCAGTGATTGAGGTGGGCTAGCCATGTATTGTGCATACACCCAGTCATTGCCTACCTTGACGTGTGACGCTAGCCTAGGTGGGATTGAGTTGGAAGAAGGCTGAGGAAGATCAGAACAAGATGTGTCACCAGTCGATGAAGTCTGTGACTGCTGGCCTTTGTTGTGTCGGGAGGTGTAGACTACCTGGCTGTCGTCCCAAGACCATAGGAATCGGTGGTTGAAAACATTTGGTGACATGTCTGAAAATCAGCCTCAATGGTACGGGTGTATTCACTGTTTGACATCTTCTAGAGCTTGAGTATTTCCACTAACCTTCATTTTCAACTCCATTCTCCTCCGATACACCGTCGTCTCCTTTGATATCGAGCTTTTTC